GGGGGGGGCGGGGGGGGGGGGGGGGGGGGGGTGCGGGGGGTTGGGGGGGCAGAGGGGGGGGAGGGCCGGGGGCACCGATCGGGGGCGCGGCGGAGGGGCGGGACCGGGCGGCAGCGGGGCGCGGCGGAGGGACGCAGCCGGACGGTAGCAGGGGCGGGGCACGTATAGGGGCGGGGGCGGAGTTTGGGCGGGGCTTAGGGGGACGGGAGCGGGGGCGGAGCTGAAGCGGTGAGGCGAGGCGGGGGTGGGGCCTCATCGCCTGGCTTTCCGCCCCGCCCAGCGTGGAGGCAGCCGAGGCCGAGCCGCAGTTCCCGAGCCCTGGGGCTGAGTTCTCTGGCTTCCGCAGCGCGGGAGCCGCAGGTCCCCCTACTCCTCCCCACCACCACGCACACACATCGGTCCGGCCACCCATGCTGTCCGCGATGTGGCTAAAAGGAGGGCAGGTCCCCAGCCGGCTTTGGAGCCAGAACCTGTAGGTCAACTAAAAGAAAACTAGCGCAGGACAGAGGCAGGATTCCATTTCTAAATAAAAGTCCTTTTAAAAACATTTTTCCACCTGCACAGTTGCGGGAATTTAGTGCGCCATCGTATTTAAAACCCAAGCTGGATGGCGAATGTAGTCAGTGATTCTGTAACATCTTTCTACTTTGATAGATAGTTACTGCACTAGCGGGGGTGATAATTTAATAATGGGTAACTGTTGAACCACTGTGTTGTACATTGAAACCAATATAAAATTGTATGTCGACAATACTTAAATTGAAAAAAAAAAACAAAATCCAAGCTGGGATAACGGTGAGCCAGGCAATAACTCACAAAGAGTAAAAGGATGAAATAGTATTGGTCGAAGCTGTCCTTCTCCAGGTTGTTTTGGTGAGCTGTTTTTGTCCTTCCCCACAACACCAAAGTCTTCTTAAAAGTTGTTTTGAAGACATTTTCTCATCACCATATTCACCCTTACAGTAAGATAACATTTCCCTGCTGTTTTTACATGGTCCTTTTTTCCATCACTAACATGTGAACTCTTGGAGGGAAGGGGATTTGTTTTGTTCTTTGTTGTTTCTGCAGAACCTAGAAGGTACTCGCAGAGTATCAAATGAAAGAAATAATTTAAAAGTGGAACTTATAAACGTTTTTATATTAACAATTTCTGAACAGTTTAAAAATTAAAACCAGAAAGTTAAATTATCTGTTCATTCATATCTAAGAGTTTTTATCCATATTTCGTGGGAATAATAATAATACCTCATGGGATAGTTTGAGGATGATGCCTGCACAGTGAATGCTGTATAAATGTTAATTATTCCTAGTCATTCTTTTATGTTTATCATGAATAAAGCTCCTGGAAATCAACACTGTAAAGACAAAGAACTCTAGACAAAAATTGGGACCGGACTGAAGATGTTTTATGGCTCATCTCTGAAAATGGACCTTCAAATAAGACAAAACTGCAGGTATTCGATTCTTATGATAAACTGTCACAGAGGCACGGCAGGGACATGGGACAAGCATCATGATTAACTTTTCCTGCCTATGATGAAAAATGCTGAGAAGTAGACAGTATAGTAAGAACAGGAGGGACCCCATCTTAAGGCTAAAATTCCATTTTAAAAATCAGGGAGTTAAGAGGTAAGATTCCTAACATATTCTGTGGTAATCAGACAATCACCCACCCTATCTTAGGGCAGGGCAAGCAGTCCTGATATGGTCCCAGTGCTTGAGGGAAACCACTATCTTGGAGAAGAACAGCATCAATAAATTCTTTGTGTTGTGTATCTTACAGAATTATCTAAAGGACTGATTGACGATAGTGATATAATGTCTCTCACCAAAGTGAGTGAGCATGAGACCATATGTCAAGCCTACACCTCCCCTACCCTCTGCCCTTTGCCCCATTCTTGAAAGCCTTAAAAGGCAGAATCATAAACCCTTAAGTGCACCTTCTCTGAGGTTGCCTGCACTCCCCTTTCTTCGAGTGTATACCTTTTAAATAAAGCCTTCTCACTGCTCAACTTCTCACGTTGTGTCTCTGTACTCTTCCAGTGGTAAACATCTTTGTTACCTTGCTATTTTCACTCTATTTTCTAGACTTAAGCTCAAGTCTTCACTCTCTCTGTCCTACTTCACCTAAGTAGGGAGGGGCTACTGAGAGATCTGATTTGGGCTTGCAAGTTCCCGTCCCCTGGGTGACCTGGGCAGGACTGTGGCTGTACAATCATGCTCTTTGATAGCCTGCCTGAAAGTCTCCTTTCTTTGCCTTTGAGAAGTTCTCAGAACATAATCTCACTCCGTCCAGCGCTCTGCAGCTCCCCCAAATCCTGGGGTGGTAGGCACTTAGTTCCATGCCATGCAGATCCAAGGAGACACTGGATGCCAGGTGGCCCGGGCTTTAGGAGTTGGCAAGGGATCTGCCCTATGCAAACAGGAGTTCAGTGAACTTCCCTTTCCTCCCTCTGCCCTTCCCTGTTCACTGCTGCCTACAAGGCAGCTGCCATCCCCTACTGCTCTCGTTTTAATGAATTCCTTACCTACACTCTTCCGAGAATTCTTTCTTGTTCAGAGTCAGGAACCCTCCCCTGTCCAGGTTGAGGTTTCACCTGGTGTGCAAGGAGACACCTCCCCAGACGCAGCTGCCAGCCAACAATGAGACAACTACAGGTATTTAATTCTTATGATGAATTGTCACCTTTGCCCCTTTAAAATTTTTTTCCATTTACTCCGCAGAATACTACATTTTGAAATCTCATCTAGCACCTATTGAAACTCAGGTTGAGACACCTGTTCAAAGTGATAGAGTGACTCAACATTAGGCAGATTCTTTCGGTTCTATTCTGAATCCGTTATTAAATGCAAGGCCATTACTTCAGCTCCATGTAGAAATGCCTTCACAGAAATGTACTCACGCCCCCGGAGTAAATTAAGATTTTTTTTATACAAGAAATGGCCATTTACAGTTTTTCTGGCATCTTTTATAAAATTCTTTCATTATCATTGTTCAATATCTCTAGCAGATCCATGCTTTACTATTTGAGGTCAGGGCTAGAAAAAGGTGTTGTTTCTCCTGACAAATGCATATGCTCAGCTTGAGCACTAACTCATCATATTCAGGTTTTATCTTGACTCTCAGGAAGCTTAGAGCTACATTTAATAGTCTATTATAATGACTATGCTTCCTCTTCTTTTAAAAAAATTATAATTACTGCCACGACTTCAGAATATGTCTTAATCTTTCATCCCTATTTTAATAATTTGATAGCCCAAGTTTTAACCAAGATCTGTGTCTTCCTTAAAGCTGCCTCAAATACTTCAGAAGTAGGCAGTGCCACCATGCAAAACTGTAAGTTGGGGAAATTTGTATTCATTGTTTCTTGACCATATTTCAGCCAATTTTAGTCCCCGAGTCCAGTTAAAACATGACAAGGCAATGCAACATAAGATGAGTCTGCCCGCTTATCTATGAAAAATCTGTGCAGATACCTGATGGAATAGAAAAGGAGACAACAATGAGACAAAACTGCAAAATCACTAAGAAAACAGTCAACTTCAGCATTCATGGTTATTTACTAGAAAAACCTATTTCAAGTTTTCTCTGAATAATGGCACCTTACCATTTATATAATGCACTGCTATTTCAAAAGATTTCTACATTTATTTCAACAGTTTTATTTACAACTGTGGAATTTGAAGCTAAGTAGCAGTGCTATTGACTCCTTCAGTTCTTGTGAATATACTGTAAGGCTTCCTCAATGACATGAAAGCATAAGGTACTAAGTGATGTTGGGAGTTAAGTCCCTAACAGGTGACTGGAGAAGGAGGCAGGCACACACTAAGGATATGGATGTAGACTGCTGAGAACTCCTTGAAACTGAGGGTGTGTGTTGGGGGCGGGCATGGGAGGCAAAAAGCAATACCACATTTCAGCAATCTCTCAAGTAAGGCTTTGACATACCTACAGTAATCCGCAATATGCTAATGAATTCACTTGAGCTGTGTTTTCTGGTAGTGCTGATAGATTCATAGTTACTCAACCATGCATTCATTCATTCAAAATTAGTAGCATGTTGAATGCCTACTAAGTATCAGGGACAATGCTAGGTATTGGGAATGTTACAGGTTGCATTTGCTTTCAGTTCTTGTCCCTGCTGCAAAAAAGAATTGAAAGGCAGAGACACAGTAGTGAAGTAAGGTAAAAGTTTTATGTCAGTACACTCAATGGAGGAGAGGGCCAGAGTCAAGATAGACAAAGGCTCCGAACTTTTATGGGGGGGGTCTACTTATCACTATCTAGCTGGCACTTCTGTTGACTGACAGGGTGAGGTCATTTGATTGACAGCTGTAGATACCTGTTCCTCTTGGTGTGCATGTCTTTCTCCAGAATGCACACAGAAAAACCCATGGTGTGATGGGAGCAAAACTGCAACTTTATTTTATTAAGATCATGAGGTGGTGTGGTTTGGGCAGTTCTTAGTTTTGTTCAATTGCGCCCACATTGAGGTTGGGAACTGGTTAGAATGGGTTTGGCCTAGTCCCAATAAGCAAAAAGTTATCTCCCTGCAAAGCCTTTGTTGTCTTCATGTGGGACCCCTACCTGGGCAGTTTCTCCTTGAGCCTTATCTTCCCCTTCCCTGGCTGCTCCTGTCTATCTTTCTACTGAGCAGAAATATACCAATGAAACAGATGTGCTCCGGAGCTTACTACAGTCTAGTGAGGAAGCCGGGCAGGCAGGTATAGATGCTATGAGAACATACAGGGCAGGGGTAGGGCACCCAAGCCTAACTTGAGAGGTTTTGCTAAAAAGGTAACACCCACTTACTCAGGTCTCAGCTTAGGAGTTAGTAAAGCTAGGAAGTAGGGAAGAAATGGGGTAGAAGGGAAAGGTCTCAGAAGTCGAAAAAAGCAGGGTATTTCTGAGGGACGGAAAGTAGTTCAGGATGTCCTGGGAATATGAGGAGAGGAACATGAGATCAGACTGGAAAGGCCAGCCAACCTAGAGTTTACCTCAAGTCATGGGTTTATCTAGGGGAGTGACACTATCAGATCTCCTTTGTAAAGATATGGAAAATGGGACTCCAGATAGGACATCTTTGGCATACTGCAGGCATGAGAAGACAGTGGCCTCATCAAGGAAATAGCAGTCTGGGAGAAGTGGACAAATTGAAGAGATTTAGGAATTTAATGACTGATAAGCTACAGGGCCTAAGGGAGAGGGAAAACACAAGGAAGATGGCCTCTTAAAAGGTATATATAAATTACATTTGCTATGGGGGCATTCTCATATGCCCCTGGAACTAATATTGGAGGGTCTAAATTTTGAGGGTAGGAAACAGGAAGAAATGGAGAGGGCTTACTCAATTTATTAATACGTAAGCAGTATTCTGGGTGGTTTATATTATTAAAAGGAAATTCTTCTGTATTTAATAAAGATTAAAGTAGTGTAAGAAAGATATTTAGCAAAGATTAAAATAGTATAAAGCAAGGGTCAGAATAAAAACCAGATAATGACTCTTCTCTTTTTACTGCTATACTTACTAAGGCACTGATTAATTTACCTGAAATCCTTCTTTAAATTAAAAAGTAAATGGAGAATAAAACATCTCCTAAATTACATTTAGCTTTTTTCAGCAACATGTTAATTTGATGACTGTTGAGGTTCACTGATTCTTTCAACATTTATTAAACACCTAGTGTGTGCCAGGCTCCTTGTGGGTACTGTGGATACAAAAAGCAAAGACAGACATTGTCCCTGCTCTTTATGAGCTTGAGAGTCTCACAGGAAAGGAAAGTAAGCAGGTGATTCAAATCCAGTGCGGCAAATGATACTGTGGGCGTACAGAGGCAGGGGCTACTAACCAAATGGGTTGTGGCTGAAGTCTGTGCAGAGAAACCCTAATTCTTGAAAAATAAGAAGTTAGCCAGAAAAAGGGTAGGAATTCAGCAGAAGGGGCAACCTAAGTAAAGGAATGAGAAAGCACTAAATGTTCGAGGAACTGCAATGACTCGTGACATTCAAAAACGAGTATGAATTAAGGCGTGACAAGATCTAAGGCTGGAAAGAAAGATGTGGGGTTGGCAAGACTTTATTTGCCAGGCTAAAAAGTTTAGGTTTTATCCCAAGGTTATGAGGTACATTGAAGGATTCCATCTGGCAATGACATATAAGATTCCGTTTTTAAGACCTGTTAGCACAGTGAAAACTGGATTGGAGGAAAATAAGATCAGAGACTGGGAGACCAGTTAGGAGAAGCTGCAGAAATCTCAGTAAAAGATGAAGCCTGAATAAAGACAGAGGCAGAAATAATGGATGGTAAGTAGGTAAATTAGAAAGAAATTAAGGATTCAGGACCTTTAAGACATGGAGGTTGATTAACTGGGGATCTAAGTAGATGGTGGAGCTATCTATTATGACAGGGAAAAGAGGAAAAGAACAGGTTTCGCCTCCTGGGAAGGGCTGTTTGTGGGAATTGCTGGCATGGCAGAGGGAGAGGCGTTTGGAGATTTGGGTTTGAGTTTCAGACACGTTGTTCGATGCACCCGTAGCAGATCCAGGGCGAGATGTCCAGTATCATCATATTGTTTCCGTGTGGTTCCAACTCCTATTTCTCTCTGATAAAGACCCTTGGGATTACATAGAACCCAGTGGACAATCCAGGATAATCTCCTATCTCAAGATCCTTAACTTAATCACATCTACAAAATCTCTTTTGCTATATAAAGACATAATCACAGGTTCTTGGAATTAGGACCTGGACATCCTTGAAGGCATTACTCAGCCTACCACAGAAGTTATGAGTGTTTAAGAGCTATAATGAAGGGTGACATTATTTTGGAAAAGTGGGGAATCAAGAATACTGTCATGGAAAGATGAGGGAAGAGAACATTTCTGGGAGGGGGAGATATAACCCTCAAATGCTGCCAAGAGGTTAACCAAGATAAGGACTGAAATTGTCCTCTAGCAATGAGGCCACTGTAAGCATGATGTCAGGGAAGTGGTAGGCGCAGAGGCCAAACTGGAATATGTTAAGGAATAAACAGTAAATGAAAACGTGATGAAGATAGTAACTATAGGCAACTCTTTGAAGAAGCTTAGCTATGACTGAAAGAGGAGGAAAAAGAGCAAAAGGTGAGAGGGGCATGAGGTAAAGGAGTGGGAGGATTAAGGACACTTAGATGCACAGGGGACAGGGGTCCACAGAAGAGTTTAGGGTATACTCGTACACAGGTGCAGAGTATAAGAGAAAATCTCAGAGAAAGAGCCAGAGGCTCCGTGAGAAGCAGGACGGAAGTGGGAGGATGAATCCAGAAAAGGCAGAGAGGAAAGCAAGGGGCAGGAGGACCCCCCCCCACTGCAAGAGGAAGGAGGTGAGGATGAGGGTAGGAGTAGAGCAGCCAGCCCCTGGTAGGGCCCCCGCTGGGGAGGGAGGGGCAGCCGGGTGGTTTTAGGCTGATGCTCTTCTCTGTGAGGCAGGAGACGAAAGATGTGCTTGTTCACCAAGAGTCAAAGGAAAGAGGTAGGAAGGTTGAGAACAGCGAAGGTGCAGAACGGCCGTGGGGATGAACAGGCAACGCTGTGACTGGGAACATGCGTAAGTACCATGGTAGAACGGGGCCTTGAACTGTGTCATTCAGAAATGAAAACTAGCAACAGGAACTAAATTTTCAAGGACTAAGAAGGAAAGGAAGATCAATTTAAGGCTGCGGCTCTATAACAGAACCTTAGTGTGTTCTGAACTAAATAAGAGCAAAAGATCTCACCATTTTTCTAAGTCTTTAAACAACTCTAACTTAGACACAGATTTGCTAAAATACTTTAAGTCTACCATGGTTTGAGTCACACACCTAGAAAACTGGAAGAAACATTTTTAAAATGTGCAATCCATTTCAGAGAGCCATGAATATTTTCACTACGTAGTTTTTATTTTAGACGAACATTATTGTAAAAAAGGTTCACTTGGAATAAAATCCTTTTTTTAAAAAAAAACCCACAGCATCATCAGAATCAGTACACAGTTAATGAATTGGCTTAAACAAGATTAACCACATAACAGGTCCATTTTATCTGCAGGAGCTTTTCACATTAAGCTGTTGGAGCAAAAATAAAATTGCAGAAACACATATAGTCAGATAACTCTATGGAAAAACTAGGTATTTCCCATTAGGGACATTATTTTAGTCAAATATGTGGTATTTTGCATTAAAGGAACTGCAGCATCAGCTACAGACAAATAAAATAAAATCCATCTGTAAGGCCATAGGAATGAAGTGTAATAATTCACATTTTAAAAAAAGGTAGAAAGTGAAACAAGAAGTTCTATTAGTTCTTGGCAATAAGAAATGCAATTGCACATGGCACAAGCATTCCAAAAATTGAAGTGAAATTTGAAAATATCCCTAAAATAATTGCTAATTATCATTTCTGTAAATTTCATCAAGATTTTTTTCATAAGTGAACATGACACCCATTAATTTTATTAGTCTAAAAGAAAGACTGCTTCTACTATAAAACTGTGCTAGCATTTGAAATTTTATTAGTATATCCTGTCCCTCTAGGTCTCTCTAAGGACAAGGAATTTCATTTTTAGACATTCTTTTTCCCCCTGTCTTTGGATATAATAAGAAGGAAAAAGGAATGTTTTTCTGTTAAAAGAAAAATTCTAAGAAGCCCAATAGCAGAAATGAGTGCTTAAAATCTGAGATAAGTAAACCAACATAATGAAATGCTGTTTTCATATTTAAGCTTAGAAGCTCATCTTTAAAGATTAAGAATTAAATTTATTTTAAATAATCTAAATCATGAACTAGAAAAGAAAGTCTGCTTAAATGTATCACTTACTGTCCACAGGAAAAAACTTTATAAGCCTTAATACAGATTCTCAGCATTCAGAACCTGTTAAATGGAGTTATAGTCCCTTATTTAGGAATTTCTGCAAACATTTATCTATATTGCACAGCTAAATTTATTAATGAAGACAGGGAGATAATACTTTTTTTAAGCTATTAGATATGACATGTATGTTTGATTCTAAACTACCTCCTACTTTTCCCAATGATGCCTTTAGTTCAAAACAAAACATACAATCTAAATTGTATTGGATGCGTAAAGGCTGGCTCACTGTTTTTCTACCAGTTATTAGAATACTAGTTAGCTAGATGAGGTATAATTAAAAAATAGTCCTTCAAAGTAAAGAGCATATAGTTTTCCGAAAACTGATAACAAAGACTGCACAAAATGTTTGTGTAAATAGTAATAAACCTGCAGCATCTCCTAACTGATGCCCAGGTGGATTATTTTCCCATAATCTGTCAGAAATAAAGTATAGCTAAAATAAATTCCCAGTGAAACATTTTACGTCAACTGTTTTACATGCTACTTAGTTACAGCACATTTTCACTGTCTGATACCCTCAGACTCTATTTGAAAGGGTCTAGTCCAATCATTGTCAAAAATTACCACACTGATAATAAAGTGCAGCCACCGAACCACTAATACTGCTGCAAAGATCTTCATGTACCTTATCCATAAGACCACAAAAAATGTTCACACAAAACTAGATTTCTTCAGTTTCAGCAGGGAACAGACAATTATCTGCCACTAAATTCATCTACAAATAGAAAAAATAATGCACTATATGTACATTGTTAAGCAAGGTGGGCGATTTATTGGGTCATTTTACCATGCAGAAAGTGAATTTCCTATGGTCTTAGCTCAAATTATATACAATTTAGCAAAGCTAAATGTAAGAAAATAGCAAGGACAATTTATTTCTATATAACAGAGCATTTACCCCCAATTTGCTGCTACTTCAAAGAACACCTTTGGACTCATCTAACTTTTACAGGCTCTTTCAAAGGGAAGTTCATGGAGACTAGTTATTAACCCATATAAGACAAAAGAAGAGAGAAGGAATAAAACAAAAGCAAAGCATTGGTTTTTTAAAAAAGCTAACCACAGAATACGTCAGTTTTGGTTTGTAGACAACCCCTGAGATATAAACCAAAGTGTTAAGACACCAAATAGTCAGAGGTAAATTACTAAGAGAATTACATTCATACATGGTGTCATAGCACTTGCCTTTTAGAAAGTACTTTGTTACCATCCAGAAAACTTAACTGCTATGATCTTTTTAAGAAAATTAGTGAGTAGAAAATGTTTCTAAGAAAGTATTTTTTCTTTCCAGAAATGTACCTAATTTTAAGATGGCAGACATACAATCAACTTTCAATCAAGGAACTACTAGTTATACTGGAACACCAACAGGTGCTTTTAAGCCCATAGGTAAGTGCAGAAAGAAAAAAAAAATCAAGGAGGCTGTAATCTATCAACAGTAAGTTTAGTGTATACATAAAAAATAGCTCTGGTGTATTTATTACCACTGAATTGTGTGTACGTTTTCAAATGGGCAGTAACAGTTGAGTGGTCCAAGCCTTGGATACATCTTAATTTGAAGCAGAATTCTCTGTGCTAACAAGCAATCCCTTTCCACTTTCATCTTCCATTCTTAACTATCAAGCCCAATGGGAACCTTTGTGAAACAAAACAGGCCTAACAGGGACAAATTTAAGCTTAGAAGCTCATCTTTAAAGATTAAGAATTAAATTTATTTTAAATAATCTAAATCATGAACTAGAAAAGAAAGTCTGCTTAAATGTATCACTTACTGTCCACAGGAAAAAACTTTATAAGCCTTAATACAGATTCTCAGCATTCAGAACCTGTTAAATGGAGTTATAGTCCCTTATTTAGGAATTTCTGCAAACATTTATCTATATTGCACAGCTAAATTTATTAATGAAGACAGGGAGATAATACTTTTTTTAAGCTATTAGATATGACATGTATGTTTGATTCTAAACTACCTCCTACTTTTCCCAATGATGCCTTTAGTTCAAAACAAAACATACAATCTAAATTGTATTGGATGCGTAAAGGCTGGCTCACTGTTTTTCTACCAGTTATTAGAATACTAGTTAGCTAGATGAGGTATAATTAAAAAATAGTCCTTCAAAGTAAAGAGCATATAGTTTTCCGAAAACTGATAACAAAGACTGCACAAAATGTTTGTGTAAATAGTAATAAACCTGCAGCATCTCCTAACTGATGCCCAGGTGGATTATTTTCCCATAATCTGTCAGAAATAAAGTATAGCTAAAATAAATTCCCAGTGAAACATTTTACGTCAACTGTTTTACATGCTACTTAGTTACAGCACATTTTCACTGTCTGATACCCTCAGACTCTATTTGAAAGGGTCTAGTCCAATCATTGTCAAAAATTACCACACTGATAATAAAGTGCAGCCACCGAACCACTAATACTGCTGCAAAGATCTTCATGTACCTTATCCATAAGACCACAAAAAATGTTCACACAAAACTAGATTTCTTCAGTTTCAGCAGGGAACAGACAATTATCTGCCACTAAATTCATCTACAAATAGAAAAAATAATGCACTATATGTACATTGTTAAGCAAGGTGGGCGATTTATTGGGTCATTTTACCATGCAGAAAGTGAATTTCCTATGGTCTTAGCTCAAATTATATACAATTTAGCAAAGCTAAATGTAAGAAAATAGCAAGGACAATTTATTTCTATATAACAGAGCATTTACCCCCAATTTGCTGCTACTTCAAAGAACACCTTTGGACTCATCTAACTTTTACAGGCTCTTTCAAAGGGAAGTTCATGGAGACTAGTTATTAACCCATATAAGACAAAAGAAGAGAGAAGGAATAAAACAAAAGCAAAGCATTGGTTTTTTAAAAAAGCTAACCACAGAATACGTCAGTTTTGGTTTGTAGACAACCCCTGAGATATAAACCAAAGTGTTAAGACACCAAATAGTCAGAGGTAAATTACTAAGAGAATTACATTCATACATGGTGTCATAGCACTTGCCTTTTAGAAAGTACTTTGTTACCATCCAGAAAACTTAACTGCTATGATCTTTTTAAGAAAATTAGTGAGTAGAAAATGTTTCTAAGAAAGTATTTTTTCTTTCCAGAAATGTACCTAATTTTAAGATGGCAGACATACAATCAACTTTCAATCAAGGAACTACTAGTTATACTGGAACACCAACAGGTGCTTTTAAGCCCATAGGTAAGTGCAGAAAGAAAAAAAAAATCAAGGAGGCTGTAATCTATCAACAGTAAGTTTAGTGTATACATAAAAAATAGCTCTGGTGTATTTATTACCACTGAATTGTGTGTACGTTTTCAAATGGGCAGTAACAGTTGAGTGGTCCAAGCCTTGGATACATCTTAATTTGAAGCAGAATTCTCTGTGCTAACAAGCAATCCCTTTCCACTTTCATCTTCCATTCTTAACTATCAAGCCCAATGGGAACCTTTGTGAAACAAAACAGGCCTAACAGGGACAACAATTATTAACAGAATTTACTTCCCTAATGACCTCTTTATTTCTCCCTTCTGTGTATTGATACTGAAGGCTAGAATAACAGCAGTGACTTCATGATTTGAATTTGGCACACAAGTTAACATTAAATACCTTTTTTTTTCTTATGTGACAGTTAATCTACAAAAGGTATCCCAGGACCAGCGTTTGGTGAGAAAGGCAGAGAAGTTTGTGGTTGGCTTTGGCCCAAACGACTGGACCAAGTTCCATAACAACAAGCTTGAACAGATGGAACTGGGTTCTACACATTCAAGAATGGCTGTTTTAAAATTGAAACCTTGCTCATATTTTCTCTAATGAAAAGGCAAGACTTTTCCTAGAGGCTGCACAAGGTCTAATTTTTTTTATTTTTAAAAAAGTTCCAATAAAAACAGAACAAAAATAATTATTTTCACCATTACCATATCAAGTTAATCTTTCCCTTTTGATAAGAGTTTGGGGAACTAAAATCTAAATCTAACTCATTAACTCTTACCGACAGATTGTGGCAGGAATTGGGTATTACAGCTAAACCAGCAAGCAAAGGCGTGAACCTAAGAAAAAAAATATTACACGTGCTGATGTGACAGAATGACAATTAGATGCTGAAAGAAAACCCTAAAAGGCACTCTCCCTGCCTGTTTAAAATTTCAGCTCAAGAAGTCCAGTCAGAAACAGACAACAATGTTATGCTTTAGATAACTGAGTAATTACAACTAGTAATCAAACATAAGAATAGCACATACCACCTCTAGAAAAGGTGAGATTAAGGTGACTTCCAAATGTAGTTTCTCTAGATTAGGCAGAGGTAATCAATTGAAAAAGTGATTTATTTAGCTACCCAGACTCTGTGGCAAAAAGTTCAGAAATGAAGCAATCTCTAAACAACATGAAGAAATAAACTGTGGTCTCTGCTGAACAGATGGGCATTTTTATGGATTTTTAAGATAAATTTTATCAGAATTTAATGTTTCTTATTTATAAAATCACAAATCAGAGTCTATAAATGAATGTTATTGATGCAGTAATATTTGGCCAAATGAGCCAGGCCAAATGTCCTTTAATTTTAGTGTATCAACCTCTGCTTTAAATATTCTACCTTTTTAAACATCTGCAAATGCCCAATGAGACAAAAGCATGTAAATATGAGTCTAAGATTGTGCTATTAACAGGGAAAGGTTAACATTGACGTGCAAAGTGAAAAAGAAAGATAGCAGCTTCTGCAACAGGCAATAAAACAAAGAAAAAACAAGTTAGGTCCTGCATGAGTCTCCACTTCATTGCTTCCATGTTTGAAAAAAGGAGCCTGTTATCTTGCTAGGCCATGAGGCTGGAACCCACTTGGCATTCAGTGTTGAGAAGTCTGGGTTCAGTGGTGCTCTCAGCAGCAGCCGGGCGCCGTGACTCTGAGGCTGGGGGACCTGTGCTTTCAGAGAAGCAGAAAAGGGTCCTCTAAGTGTGCTGCAGTCTCTCAGAAAGAGTTCATCAAAGGAGTGAACAACGGAAGAAACTGGTCTTCTTTGATCTGTTTTCTGTAATTTTCACTGGCCCACCTGCCCCCGATGAGTTGCTGTCATTCTAAAAAAACAAAAAAAAAAATACAAAGGAAATGAAAGTTTCATGATTTGACCCCAATCACCTAAAAAATAAAAAATTAAAATATCAAACCAGACCATAAATGTGCATTCAGTAGAGTATTTTACTAGAAAGCGAACTAACTTAAGCTTCAATATTGTCTGTTTCTTTGGAAATGGTGGATTAAAACGAGAGAAATGTGTTTAGGATAGCACCTTTCGTATTAATAATTAATATTAGGTAGAAAGTCCCTATTTCCAGTTCAAAGAAATTACAGCTAGTGGAGTGTAAAGTTTCAAGGGTAATGGTAGAAACAATGTCAAGATACTGGTATAGAGGTAAGAAGAGTAAGTAGAACAAGGTACACAATTACATTCAGGATTTAGGCTAAAACAAACTTTCAAGGTTGTCCTAATGATTCATCGATGAGATCATTTCAAATTTAGGCAACATAAATAAGAAAGTAAGTTTTTAAAATAGCATAACAAAAATTAAAATTGCGATACAAACCATTTTTCTGTTGAGTTTTGTCATTATATCTCGTGCAAGTATAAAAAATGCCTGAAGATAAACCAAAAATTTCATTATTATATTTTTAAAGTATAGGATTTGTTCAATATTTCATTATGAAATATAAATACATTAATGTTTTTAACTGAGAAAAAACGTAATTGTAATCAGAGTATACGCATGAATATTGTGTCTTACAGTTATGTTTTCCAAGGTTATTAAACTGTCATTCACTCATTCATTCACCAAATATTTTCTGCACATACTGGCACAAGCTCCTAATTGTTGATTACAGATAGCTTCCTTAGTACACCAGAGGGGCAGAGGCGCTATCCAAGCCACACCTGCGGAGTGGCTCCCAGAGCAGGCATGGTGCCTGGTCTAGATGAATGAATAATTATGTATTATTCTGTAACTCTAAAACCTATTGCTTTCACTCGTATACCTGAGAATATATAATCTTCCATGTCTTAACACTCTAAAATCCTGACAGTTTCCACAGCTCAGCCAAATTCCCCACTGTAGAAGTCAGTTCGAATAGAAGCAGGACCAATCTGATTAACCTCAGTGACATTTTATACCTAGTGTCTCTTGACCCAAACCAAATATTTTTCAAACCTATCATCCCCACTTTGATTCTCTAGAGCCAAGACTCCAAAAGCTCTCTGGTTTTCTCCATGCTAAAGTCACTGTTATGTCAGTCTCTTTGTTCCCAACCATTCCTGATAACTCAAAAATGTTCAGCAAAACAATTATTTCCAATCAAGTCAAGCAGAAACAATATGGTTACTAGTATCACTCATTGTCAGTGTCTCACCATCACACTGGTCACCTATGAGTCTAAAAAGCATCTAAATAAGCCCATCCTAGGTTTGGTGAGGCTAACTACAAGTTAATACTCTGAGAAAATTGCTAACTTCTGTAGAATACCTGGCCAGAAAAAGCAGCTCGGGTGATACCCAGCTCTTTATTTACACAACTCAATGCTCTAAGCCGTAGGTGTGGTCAGGGTTGCAGGTACTAACAGGAGACCAAAGCCTGCTCCATTAAGCCAGGTACAGAGTTCATTCCGTGGAAGCAATCCTATGTGGGCTATCTCAGCAAACTTCCTCCTGTCTAAACCATTAATGCTGACTTTAAGATGCTCCCTTCTTTATGATGGAAGGAAATGCTTTTGTGGCAAGCAGAAGGAAGCATTTTTCTGCTTATCTATGTGTAAATAAATCAGTTGAGGCTTCCTGTTTCCTAATACCAATTAGCCCGCCTGAAAAAATGAGTGGTAGTTATTTAAAACAAAGAAAAACTTCTGATTGGTGTCTACTGGTTAGTCATTTAAGTCTCAATTTTTAGCCATGACATTATGGTGAACAGTGAGTATCCTAAGAAATCAAAATCTTTAGGAAACCATCAGTATTACTGTGAATTACATGTATTCTAAGTGAATTACATGTATTAATACATATTACATGTCTTATTTTTATGATCAGTTTAAAAAATATTTTTAAAAAGGAAAATATTATCAACAATTCTGCCCTTGGTAAAGAAAATCTATTCTTAAAAGACTTTAGGTGATTTGGTTTTTTTAATAGTTAACTTACTGAAAATTTATTAGAACTACTCTTTGATTCACACACATTTCTACTAACTGCCGCTGCATTACAATGTAACATGCTTACTCTATTTCAAACATGTACACTAAGACAATCTGTTTCATGAGCTAACAGTTTAATTCTTTTGAGAGAGTATAAACATGAAAGTAATTAAGGTTCTCCTGCTACAGGCAATTATAGGATGACAGGAAAGATGATAAATAAGCAGAGGACACTGCTTGGTCGGCCAGTGCAGGATTTCCAGCCTCCCAAACAAGGGCAAAACTGATCTTAAACTGAACTTCTACCTTCTGTTCAGTGAATCTTAAAGGAGCAGCTTAATATATCCCATAGGGAGGTTGGGTGCTAGAAATTCAACAACCAAGGTCCAATTAAAAGTCAAAAGCACTAAAGTCACAAAATGGAGGTGGAGCTCACAAGGCATTCACTAAGTCAGAAAACAGCAAGGCCGTGAGAGTTGCCTGAAAATAGGCAACTAAGCAAAATGTTAGCACAAAACAAAAGTCACCAAACATTTCTTTTTTACCTCTTCTACATTTGTACTCGATTTCGCACTTGTCTCCAAAAATTTAATCCCATAGTCAATCGCTAACTGAAAGGCAAACAGAAACATTTGAATTCAGTGCAAGTTGCTTAAATACACAAAGCATTTCTATTTTTTAGGTTTTTCCAAGTCCCAAAGTTAGAGTATCTAGTTCAGAACTTCTGTAGTTCTCAAACTTTTCTTCTACTGTGTTTAAAATTTAGGTATCTAGCTTAATCATCCTAAGTAAAATGGCACCACTTCCATTCAAAACACAATTTAAGTACTTCTCTTTTTTTCCACTATCTTCTAGTTCTCTAATATACTTACAAGCAAAACTATGAGAGAGACACACCTACCATTAATTTGGGATTAATTTACTCCTTTTATCTGCTCCCAAAGTATAATTCTCCAAGTTACTATATTGACTGTTCATTTTTTAAAAAACAAATTGGTCATAATAGAATAAAAGCTTAAAATACTAAATTCTACTCATTGCTTTGGTTTGTAATGATGTGACAAATTGTGAACTCTTCCATATTTCCATGTACTCCCAAATAGTTCCTAGTTCATTTATAACACTAAGATTAAGTAAATGTCTTCACGAGGAAAAGGTTTGCAGTTAGATTGAAGAAAAAATAAAATATATTTCACATGCATCACTAGAAAAAGACCACAGCCAAATTCCAAGACTTAAAAATTGAAGGCTTTAAGTCAATTTGAAAATGTCACACAAGTAAATATGTACATACAATAAACACTTCTGCTTTGTAGGACACAAAATAGAGAATTCCCTATAAATGACATCCATAGCTTGATGAGTTACAAGGTTTTATCCATAATGACCTAAATCTGATGTGCAGTAAAACAGTCTAAGAAAAAATAATGAACTGGAAAATGATTATTCTTGAAACTTCATCTATCCTATTACTTTGAATTAGTTTAATTTCAAAACTGGGTGTTCACACAGATATGGAAGAAATACCCTGCACTCTAAGCTACAGGAATCTGAAAAAGGACCAAACTGTATCTCCCAGAAAACAGCAAATTCTTTAGGAATGAGTCATGACTACACAGAATATAGAGCTAGAGTTGGAATACTAATTCATACCATTCAAGTATGGATCACATCTCTTTGTTTTACAAGGATTAAAATATAGATATTTTTTAGACTTAAGTCAATAATTAAATAATACTAAGAAAATAAATGCTTAATGTAAGTAGATTCCAGTATTGGGGCATTCAGTTCAAGTTACCTTCTCTCCTCTTTCTTTTGACACTTGTCTTTTGTCATTCATATCACATTTGTTACCCAGGATCATTCTTTCAACATCTGAAGAGGCATGCTGCAGGGAGAAAATAGTATGTTATAAAAACAGCCTGAGAAAAACAGTTATTCAACAGACAAATCCTAACCTGTCAAAAACTTGTCTGTGAATTTAGTAAAGTCAATCTTCACTCAACTCAAGGCCTGACACAGAGGAAAATTTAAAAGATGAGAGGAAGGGAAAAGCTATAGCATACGAGCCTGTGCAAACTTTTTTCCCAAAGGCAGCGGTCTTCTCACGTCTTTTTTTTTGTACATGAACAAATAGAAATACAATTTATGGGTATCTAACAACAAAGCTTCCAAACATCAGTTTGGGTCAAAGGAGAAAAAAAAATTGGAACTGAGTGAGCCAATGGGGAAGGTATTCTGGAATGTGAGCTACATAAAAAGTAAATTAATATAAGTTAATACAAATGTGTACAGAATTGTTTCAGAGTCATATTTCTCTCGGAAATGTCAAAGACATTTAAAAAATCTTAGTATCAACCTGGGATTAAACCCAATTTCAAATATCTAAGATGGAGAAAATGTCAGAGGGGCAAAATGATAAGTTACTGGAATAAAGATGTAGTTTTGCTAGGCAAACAGCACAGTGGAACAGACAGAAGCTGGGAGTCAGAAGTTTTAATTCTGACTCTCCTTTTAAAAGGCTTTCTGATCACAGGCAAGTCTTTCTGGCCTCAGTTTTCTCATGTGTAAAATGGGGACTTGGCTTAAATTATTTTCAAGATCTTGGTCAAGTTTAAAATTCTGTGAAACTGCTCCTCTGTCCACATCCCCCAGTGCAGCACAGTAGCCTGATGGCAGCACCAGCGCTCTCACAGGCCATGGTGCTCCTCAGAGTGAGAGGGCCTGGCCTGCCCAGCCCCTGCAGCCCAGCTGCCTCTTCCAAAGACAGAAAGAGCCCTTTGTATGCACCCAGCAGGACTCTTCTCTGGCATCATCATTGTCTTTCCATACATACCTCTTCAATGTTTCTTATCCAATTTTTAATATTGTCAAAGGACTTTTCATTTGTGATGTCATAGACCAGCATAATTCCCTACAAGAGAAAAAAAGATCTTTAATACTATATATATTCAAAGTTACAGAGTATGATGCCAATGTACTCCTCTCCTCCAGAAACCTTGTGTCTGTCTTTTCTCTTTTGTCTTTATAAAAGGGATTCATAATAAAATTTTAAAGTACAGAGATGCAAAGATAAATTCTTCCATTGCCTCCTCAAGTAAATAAATACTCTGTTAACATCTTCACTGTTGAACTTTAATGAATTAGTGATTATGGTAAAGGTGATACACTCTTTCTACATGATAAGAATTGCACCAAGTGGAGCTAAAGGACTGTTTAAGTTAAAACAGAGATAATACTGAGAGTAAGAAGTAATCACTTCTGTTGTGCACAGGTTTATTCCAAGTAGAAATTGTCTTGCTTCTTTACTCTTATACTAAGACTATAAGCATAATGCTTAAAAATTATTTCTTCTATGTGGGTTGATCAAAATGTCACTATCTGTCTCAGTACATTACAGACACTTAAAAATATATGCACTTGTTATACAAGCTTAATGAAAGGCATTGTCATATTTTTAAAGACCCCATGTCTGATATTTCTAAAGGGTTTACCTTCTGAATATATCAAGTGAAAGCTGTATGCTAATTATTCCAAAATCTTTATCACCAGACTGCATTTCTGTATTAAGTGAGATCCAACCATTGTCCATCCATTCAACAAATATTTAGTGAGCACCTACTATGTACCTGGTACCAAATTAAGTGCTACCAGTAGTGAACAAGAAAGACAAGGCCCCTTCCTCTCATGGATGGCTAGTAAAGAAAACAATGAACCAATAATTATACAATTAATGATAATCTTGACACTTGCTATGAAGAAACACTGGAAGCCATGAGTACAAATGTAAATCTAATCTGACTGAGGAGCTGGGTGGTCGGGAAGTCTTCCTTAAGAAAATGATATTAAAGCCAAGGCCTAAAGACTGAGTAGACTTGAAATGGACAAAGGGGTTGAGGCTGGGGTGAAGAGAAGCCCACGGTGCCTGGCATGTAGCAGAAACATGGGCTCTTGCTGACCAGAAGGCCAGAACCCACTGGATTTTGTGACGGAGTCAGTTTGGCGAAAGTGCATAGAAGCACTGGGAGAAGGGCACACGAGGCTGCTGCAGAGACAGATGAGGGTCAGATGTACCTCTGAGCCAGATGTACACTGGCTCTCAGATGTCCCCTCTGGTCACCAAAAACTCTAAGTAAATCACAAGGCTGTCTTGATCCCTCCAAATCTTCTCTTTCTCCTTGTACTCATGTTTTGTTAAAGGGCAATACAACCACACCAGCCAGCTCAAGCAGACCCCTGGGAGTAACCTCCTCCACAGCCAGTCAGTCCCCAAGTCCTGTAGGCCCCGCAACTGCAGTATTTCTAGATTCTGAGCCCTGCACCCACCACACACACGTGGCCTTATTCATATTCTCATCAATTAGCCTGTACCTGGATTACTGTCATAGTCTTTATTGGTCTCCTGCTTTCATTTTTAGCTTCCTCTAATTTACTCTCTATAAGGGCACCAGTTACCAACCACTTCATGCTTAAAATCCCATAGCACCTCTCCATTGTATTCATAATTATAGGTTACAATTCCTTAGCATGGCAGACAAAGTCCTTCAAGTCTGACTTCCAACTTTGTAAATAAATATAAAATAAAACACATGGACAAAAGAATCTAGGAAATCTTAACAAAATATTAACAGAGCTATCCCTCAGGGTGGTGAGATTTTGGATGATTTCTTAAAATTTTCAGTTTTCTATACTACATGTAACTTTTTGACAACCATACAAATGCATATTATTGTTTAAATGACAAAAAAAATTCTCCTCTATCCTCCCTCCTCTCAGCCTCAAATGCAAATGTTTCACTTTGGCTGCACTGTAAAGTAGATTTCACAAATGTGTCAGTGTAAATAAGTTTTTAAAAATTAAAGTTGAGGGTCATACACCTAAACTGTAAATTTTATGTTATGTATATTTTACCACAATTTAAAAAATAATTCAAAATGGAATCTGAATAATTCCTGATTCAAAGAATTTAGCTGCCTACAATAAAAAAGTTAATAAAATAACTACCAATAGCTCTACTATCCTTTGAGCCTTATGGACAATCTTGGTCTTCACTGTCTTACGTCTGTCAAGTGGCCCTCTGGGTGGTTAGCACAGGAAGTGTGAACACAACACAGCATCTGAAGTCACGGGCTCTGGAGCCAGAGACTCAAGCCTGGGCTCCACCATGTACTACTTACCACCTGGGAGACCCTGGAGATGTTACTGAATCCCTCTCAGTCTCCATTTCCTCATTTGTAAAATGAGGAGAGCACATCTTCCACACTGGGTACTTTTCAGGATCTACTGAGATATTATTTGTAAACTACTTAACCTAGAACCCAGGACATAGCTTGGACTAAAAAAATGGCAGCTATCAATGAATATCTTTGGTTTCAATAGTGGAAACCCTTCATCTATTTCCTATGTTTGTAAACTAACTGATGTCGTGAAATTGGAAATACAAACTCAAGTATTCCAGTTAAAACTTCATATATATCTGGTATATCCCTATAATAACAGCTTCCTTAGCATTCGTAAGATAGCCTTGGTCTATGAGAAATGTTGATAATGCAATGATATAGTCCTTTTTCCCCCCAAAGCCCAATGTCCATCTGGCTTACTTCTGCGCCTATGTATATTGCTGAAGAGTTTGAAATAGACCAAAGGACTCTGGAGTGGCAGACTGCAGTACAGTGCTTCTCAGCATGTCACGCACCTGAACCTACACACTACACCTGCCAGAACCACCACATGCTGAAATGAGAACACGACGGCTCTGTGTCCCACTGGAACACATGACCTGCAAGATCCAAGACTCAAGCAGAGCAGGGCTTTCTGAAATTTATCTAAGGTTGTATCTAGGTCTGAAATTTTCCACTGCTTCACCCCTTCAGCAAGTATTTATGAAATACCTACTATGTGTCAAGCATGGCATTACAGCAGAACAAGGGAGACAAAAATTCCCTCCATCAAAAAGGAAAAGACAATACTACCTTAGAATACCAACAATTCCTAATTACTTGAAGTAATGTGAAGAGAGACTTGCCAAGTAGATGAATGAAAAAGACAGACAATCCTCAAATCTAAATTAAATAACACATTTCAATAACCTCTTTCCTCATACCATGAACTAGAGCCAGACATCCAAGGGAAACACTTGCTCTACATCTTAGGTGTTCCTGTCCTCTCTAGTGAAAACAAGCATGCAAGTGGAATCAATCCATCATTCCTAGAAAATAAAAAAGCAGTCAATAGAAAGACTTGTGTTTGTAAGATTCCCTAGTCAAAATTACCTGTAAACTATTCAAAATCATTCCTGTTAAGATATTCTTATTTATCCCCAAAATCCTTCCTGGGAGAAACAAACAACAAAGGAACTTCTTTCTGGCACACAAAGTAAGTCCCTCCCTCTGATTCTAATCTAAGCAAAACAGAATAGCTGACAACCACTTTTCTTAAAATAATGACCTGTCATAATTTTTCAAGTATTACAGGGTAGAATATGGAGAACCATAAGCATACAAAACACATGGTGGTATATAGCACCAAGGTGATCTAGCCTTAGAAAGGAACCCCTAATCTTTTGGTGGGGATGTTACCAGTACTCAAATAAGGGAGGGTGAGTGGCCGTGGAGGAGGGAGGGAGGGCAGCATGGTAATAAAGGGATCTAGGGATCATGATCACATCTTCCGGGAGACAAGGGGACAGCTATCACCTACGGTTCTGGCACCCTGGCACCACTCCCAGAAGCACAACAATCTTTTAAGCAATGAGTCTGGTATGATGGAAGCTGATACCCCACAGTCTACTACGTTGGGCTTCATGATCTCAACAGCTCAACCTTCTAAGACTCAGTGAGCACACTGGGTTTCATCATCATTCAAAGCTCCAACCTGTGTTTGGCTTAGGCCTAAAAGCCAGGGATTAAGCCCTGGTCTGGGCCGAACATTCTAGGCATGTCTCAGTACAGCTCTGCTTCTAGGCTGTCTTCTTGACCACTGTACTCCCAGCACACACACAGGATTTGCCCTGAGCCAACAAGCAATAAAATGGCTTGTATAGATGAAGCATCTTAGGATGGAAAACAGCCAAGTGATGAGCTTACGATAAAGAGGGTAAGGCTAGGAGGTAGCAAAGATGGACTTGGTAGCCAAGACTGACCAGATTCTAAGCCTCAAAGAGTCACAGATGATTCAGCTACTTCCTGGCCAGCTGGCAGAATGCTGGTAGAGGAGGCCGTGGAGAGATCAGCCATTAGGAACGGATGTTGTGGGCCTGGTGAGAGAAGGGATGATGATGGCAGGGCTGAATGATGAGAGGGTGCAAGAAATGAACACTTAGTCCCAGAGCTTGTGGTTTGCTGAGATTTGGCAAAGGTATTAATACAAAGGAAAGGTCACAAAAATATGCACAATCACTCAAGATGGGTGGAGGAGTTCTAGAACATCTACAAGCTAATTATCTGATTGATATTATGAAGACAAGACCAGTGGCAGAGTATATATATGGTTACTACACAAAGAACATAAAAAAACCTTTAAATGTTTTGTTTTCACATCAAAAAATCTGTTTTCCGCATTCTAGTAGATGCTACCTTGAGTCCTATAAACTTGATAAATGAATATTCATGTTTTACTTTCACCTGAACAGTTACAAAACTCTAAAACACACTCACCATGGCTCCTCTGTAGTATGCTGTTGTGATGGTTCGAAATCTTTCCTGACCTGCTGTGTCCCTAAAATTTGAAACAAAAGAGAGAGTGGTTTTTAAAGTCATCACCAGCATCACTGAGGAGAGGCTCTAAGCTGTAGGAGATATAATTTCGGTCTGCTCACAAATGCAGTGGTTTCAGAGGAAAGGAGAACAAGACACAAAGGGAGCCTGTTGTGTGTCTTTGAGCTGGAGGCGGTGGTGGCCATGGGAGCCTGTCAAGAGCTCACAATGACTTGGGTGGAAAACCTGGACCTTGATGATAAAAGCAGCAACAGGACAATGCATGGCCCTGCTAGGAACCGGCACATTATGTTAGTCAAAATATGTGGGAGAGAATAGAGAATAGTTCTAAATTCTTGGACTCCTAGAGGGTTATAAACCTTCTTTCTAAACGCCTAATGATTAATGCATTTTGCTTTCTTGACTGAAAGTCTGATTACTGTTCAAAGCAAGAAACTGGGCTGGACTTACTACTGTGTAAATTCTGCTCAGCAGAGCATACTAAAACGGATCTCCTCAAGAACTCTTTCAGCCACGGAGCCTGTGATTAAATGGGAACCTGGAGCCAACACATAATTATTGGCAATGTTTCCAAAGACTTTAAAATACATCAACTTTCATATATTCTTGCTTTTTAGCCGGTAGCACACCATTAAAATACATTCTGGAAAATATAAAAGTTTCTACAATTAGAAACTTCTATTTTACTTATTTTAGTAAGGCAACCCCTACAAACAAAGTTAAATTTCCTTGACACTGGAAAAATATCAATATTCCTAAATTTGCCACTTACCACCAGAATTAACTCACTCCCTATGGTACTAAGAAAGACAAACTAAACTGTACAATTTAATTGCAGGGGAGAAAGAGGCGCTTATGGAAATATGTTAGAAATCTAATGCATTCCAGGCCCAAGCAGATATACACACACATATGTATATATACACTTACATCTGTAAAATAAATGTAAATATAGTATGTATTACATACAGTACATATATACTACATAATTTGTATAATATAAATTTATGTATTATATATATATATAAATAAAAATCAATAAATACCTTAACTTTTATGGATACCACATAAAATATTTTCACATGGTGCTCACATGATACCCACACCAAAGCCGATGGTAGTATTACCATCATCCTGACTCTGCAGAAGAGGAAACAGGCTTGGGTGGGCTGTGGTCCCAGCTCTGCCACTAAAAAGCTCATCCTCTTGAATGAGACTCAAGCATCCCAGTTCTCAGCTGTTTAGTTCAGGGCCAGGCCTCATAGCATAGTCATCTTATCCTGCCATTCTCTCCCTAATCAGGATTAGATACACAGGGCACCTCATTTGCTACATGGCAAAAAATCCACTGGGAAATCGAAGCCAAGAAAGCACCTCTGAACAGACTAACCATATTTTGATTCTAACAGACTACTTTATTTAGAACCAGTTCTGTGGTGAGGATGGAAGAAAAAATGCACCATACTGAATGTAGGTCATAAAGACTGAATGGAGAGACTTGTGTTACTCAGAGTATTGATAAATAGTACCAAGTTCCAGGTAACTGATCACCTACAGCCTCCTAGAAACACTCATTATTGCTATAACAAAGACTATACAGCACAGAGTCAGAAATTCTCTTTGCTTTTCCCTTAAACAAATTTCTTACATCTTTAAACAATTTGGCTTCTTACAAACACCAAAAGATAAAAAGGGCAGCCTGCGGTAACCTTCACAAAGTTCCCAATGCATTATACTGGGAACCACTATACTAGGCTAATAGATGAAGCTGACATGATGTTCCAGGAGATCTGGGTAGTAGTCCCAGCTTTATCACTAACCCAGACATATGCCGTCAGGTGCACTTAACCCACTTTACGTCCTAGTTTCCTCCTCTGTAAAAGAAGGGCTGGTGGATTTCATAGTGTTCCAGCTCTATCCTGGCTCTGAGATTTAAAGCAGAAACACAGCCTAGGAAAAACGTGATATACATATTACTTTACTGTTCTGCCCTGCTTTCATCTTAGTCAATGCTGCACTAAATTTCTAAGCTTTGTCTACTACTGTCATCACACATCATCAGTAAACTCCAGTAAACATCATCAAAAATCTTCCTCAAGTATTCAAATCTACATGGCTCCACGTAAAGCTCTGGAATGAAAGAAATTAAACCAGCTTATAGGAGGTTAAAAAAAAAAACGAAGAGTTTCTGAGTTCAAGCCAAAAGTTTTCAACCTGGCAATCTGGCAGAAGCATATTTATTCATTGTAGTCTGACAAATTCTTTAGGAATTCACCAGCCAGAGTTGGGTGATCATAAGGGTATCTTTGCCTTGCATATTGCAACCAGAGACCTAAGGGACATGACTTTTTCTCCCTTATTTGCCAGTCAAGTGTTCCTCATGTTTTCATTTAACGAGAAGAAATATGCAAATAAATTATAAAACATGAGATCTGAGGGGGAACTCAGAAGTAATCAGTCTAACCAAACAATTTACAAATGAGGAAAAATAGGCCCTAGAAGGGAAGCAACTGACTTCAAGTCCTCAGTGCAGAGGCAGTCATGGCCAGAACCTAGGTCTGCACTTCCTGTTTGGGTTTCCTGTCACTTGACTACTTGGCCTTATCTGATTTCATAGCTGCAACAACTACACTAACAGAGTAATAGACAGTTGACCCTTGAACAACATGGGTTTAAACTACACCGGTCCACTTATACATGGATTTTTTTAACTGGAACATTTTTTGGAGATTTGTGACTATCTGAAAAAAAACATTTTCTTTTCTGTAGCTTGCTTTATTGTTAAAGAATACAGTACATAACATACAAAATATGTGTTTACTGACTGTTTATGTTCTCAGTCAGGCTTCTAGTCAACAGCAGACTATTAGTTAAGTTTTGGGGGAATCAAAGTTATACACGGATTTTCAACTGCATGAGGGTAGGTGCCAGTAAGCCCCCCACTGTTCAAGGTCAACTGTACATTCTAGAATTTGGTTTCCTCCTATAAGATTAGCATTTTGGAAGAATGAGTTCTCAGATGCTTCTGGCTTTAAGAGATAGTGACATCATTCCTTACCTTTCCACTCTTGGTTGGAGGTACCTTTGAATACTTACTCTTTCCCCACTTGGTTCTGATAAGGAAAAGATGTTTTAGCTATCACAGAATACCTCTAACTTATCACAATTTACATTTAGATCCCCACTTTTAACTCCTAATTAAGGAAGAAACTGTGCATATACATATCTTTTTACTTACCATATCTGAAGCTTAATTTTCTTTCCATCTAGTTCTATCGTTCTGATTTTAAAATCAATTCCTGCCAGAAAAAGAAACAAACACATGCTAAATTTCTTCAATAGGATCCAAGTCTTATTAGGAAAGGGACAAAGATTTCTATTGAAAAAGAGCTCTCCAACGCACTGGAAAATGTGAACACAGAGAGGGTGTGAGTGGTATGTTTCCTCTGAATACAGGCTGAAGAAAGGAATGCTAATTACTTTGCAAAGAATTCCCACACATGTTAAATGCAACGTATTATGTGCCTCATTATTTTGACACAAATAAATTACAACCCTCAAAGGTACATAACTGAGATGGACTGAGAACATGCCATATTTTCTTCCTGAAATACATATTAACAATGCTTCCCACTCCTCATGACCCATCCTTCCCTAAAGAAGGCCATGAGACCCCTTTACAATGTCCTCTTCCAGCAGCTCCCATTCTTTCTTTAGGATCTGCAACTGGCTAAGAAGAAAACACACACATATTTGAGGGCAGGGACAGGAAAGCCTACATATTTATTTTATATAGTTAACAAGTATTCTATATACATGTTAATAAGTGTCCCCTGCATCTTACTGGCAGGAGCTGAAATAGCTAGAATGGTTTTTAGCCCTGCTGCACTTTAGAATTATCTGGGGAACCATAAAAAAATACTCATGACAAGGCTTGCTTCCCTTCCCAAATTCTGAGATTCTGCCTCAGTTGGTCAAGGCTGGGATTCGTGCAATAGTAATTTTAAAAGCTCTGCAGGTGATTCTAACCTGTAAGAAGCACTCAACTAGGCATGACAGGTAGTATGTGAGTCATTTGGCACCCTGCCCTCACCGATTTCCCCCCACTACGGTAGCTCAAAACTTCCTCAGCAATTTCAACTACAAAGAACCACACAGCCCTTGACAAATACCAGCATGCTTTATCATTTGTCAGGAATGAGCTGCTACTCCTTCTGAAGGCGCTACACCAGTGAATACAACTCAGGTGCAATTTGCTAAATCCTCATCTGTCGACTCAGTTTTGTTTTAGTGTTCTCTATTCTTTTGCTTTCTATATAGAACCCCTTAAAAGTGGTTTCCAAAACAAGAAAATATGTCAATTATGTATCCTTTACATTGACTTTAACTGCAGTTGTTTTGGGGGAGAAAAGCCTTCAGCAACCATGTTACTACCACGTTTGTAAATATAAACAGAGAGAGCACCCAGAACGGCTGCTTGGCAGCTCCAGCTTTATATAAACCCACATGCATAAACCACGTGCGTTTCCCCTTCCCCGTCTTCTTTGCATGGCACCTTTCCCCCAGGGAACCTTATTGGGTACTCTTACGAATCTTAAAACAAACAATCCCACCCAAGCTCATCTTTCCCCTCATTAATAACCATGTATTGTTCACAAATACAATCTGGCTGCCCGTATCCCAGCGTATCTGGATCACACCCCTTAAGTACCTCGGGATTGCAGGGTCTGTAGTGGGGCAGCAGAATTTGCCAGCACAGCATGAATATTATTGTTACCATCACAGAGAATTTACTGTTGCCATCAGTCATTTAAGCCTTAAAATACATTGATTTTCATTATGATTTATCTTTTTATAGACCTCCAAGTCCAGCATAACAAAGATCCCCTGGGGACCCTCTTCTCCCCTTTATCTCCCTTTGGTCTCAGCACTCAACACCTACTTGGCACTCACTCAGTGTTTCTTGACACTAACATTTTTGAAGCATCTGTAACTTTTCAAATTCATAGAAATAGCAAGTAGAATGGTGGTTACCAGCGGGTAGAGGGAAGGGGAGAGCTAAGTTTTGCCAGATGAAAAGTTCTGGAGGCCTGTTTTATAAGAATGTGCATGTACTTACCACTACTGAACTATACGATTAAAAATGGCTGAGATGGTAAATTTCATGCTACGTGTTTCCTACCACAATAAAAAAGAAAAAAAAATCCTGACTTTCAAAATGCCTACAGTATGTCTGGAAAATAACTTTCTCAATTGGAAGGCGAATGTCCAACATTCCATCATTTACTAGTTCGCTCATATTTAAGTAAGAGGTGATGTATATCAAAATGCCTGCTCAAATGATACTTTCCTTACTCTGGCTTATTGAGATGGTAACTCCTGTTCTTTGGAGGTTGTTTTTGCCTGCAGCTGGGAGTCATGGCAACTTTTCCACCTTCATTCAAAACCATTCTGAGGCTCCCTTAAAGTCTCACTTACACTCCGTTCATTTAAAACATTTTAGGAAACTTTCTACTGACCTAGCCTTTTGTTTTTTGTGTTTGTTAGAGGAGGTTGCCTTTCTGTTATTTGAGGAGGTTCTACCATTATCTGTGATACTTAACCATCTTTTCACTATTCAGAGGTTTTCAATGTTTATAGGAGTTGTGAACTGTGGTCTTTAGCTTTCGTTTATGCTGCTGTCAGGAGCCGACCGATAGTCAATTGCTGTATACAGAACACGGTCAAATTAGCCCAACTTGAATTTCACTAAAAATATTGGTTATACTATTTTTGAAAAGCACTGGACCTGGAAGTACAAAGACCTAGATTGCAGATTGGGTTTTGTCATTAACAACTTTTTAGAGTTTGCTTAACTGCTCTAAACCTCTAGACCTCATCCATAAAAAAGGTTGAGAGGACCTAATTAGATAAATGAGTTAATGTGTTTTCATGTGCTTTGGGAACACTGACATTCCATACACATGTAAGCTTTTCACACTCAGATTCTATTATCCAACAGCTCCTGTCACTTCATGCATGGATTATGCTAATAGCTTCCCAGGATGCTATACCATTGTCTCTCTAGACTACATTCTCCTGCATTCCACTGCAAGAATAACTTTCAACAATCCCTATGGTAATGCCACTTTGCTATTTAAGAAGCCAATGGATCCAACTTCTTGTGCCTGGCAGTACTGCTCTTCACACCGGATGTACCCTTCTCCTGGCACTGCAACTCTCAAGGCCTCTTTAACTTTGACCTTCTGTTTCTCCCAAGCGGCCCCACACCTCCTCCTCCCCTCTGCATGTACACAGCCACCTCAAGGCAGCCTTTGAGGGCGCCACTGCACACATGCTGTCCTCTCCCTCCTTCCCGCCTCAGCTCTGCATTCCTCCCAAATCAAGCAAGGGTTCCATTCTCTTTGCCAGTTAGGTTGTACACAGAAACATGTAGATAGTAGACAGTAAGTAAACGGTTAAATACTCTTATGTAATTAAATAAAGGTTAAATGCTACCAAGTGTGAGAGATAAGAAAACCTCGGAGGTTCAAAGGTTTCCAGTATACTGCAGTAACAATAGTCAGGATGCTGAGAAATCTTATTCAAGAAAGAAAATGAAGATATTTACATTACAGTTAGTTTGACAACAGTATCAGTAGAACAGATAGTAGATTAAGATCACTTTAATATTTAAAGAAAAGATAACTTCCTGAGACTACTCCAGGGTTAAAAGAATAACAAGTCATAAAATACTAATATATCAATTAGGATGCTTTCTGCTGCAAATAACAAATTCCAAATGAAAATAGCTTAAGGTAATTTGTTGACTCATAAAACAAGTCCAGCAGTGAGCTGGGGTTCAGAGATGTTTCAGTCCGGTAGTTCCGGCTCATTTCTCTGCACCTCCGCTGGCTGTGTCCTGGGACTATCAATTTCATCCCTGACTGATAACAGTCTCTGACCGCAACAGCAATACCGAGCAGAAAAGACATCATCTTCCTGTGTGCCTCTATCTTAAAGAGAGGAAATGTTTCCCCAAAGCCTCCAGTGACCCAGAGACCTTTCCTTCATGTCTCATTTCTGGATTTATAACCATGGGAAGAAATGTCATGTTCTAGGGGCTAACGCTGAGTTTCTGAACCAATCACGGCCAAGGCAGTTACCAAGATTGGATTAATCAAGGCCTATCTCTGGAGCTGGGTTACTCCCTGGACCCAAAAGACTGAAACATAGAGGATGGAAAGGCAACTGAATCAATCATAACATTCATTAGGATAACAATCAGATCTACCAATTAGTAAAATTTTATATTCATAGCTATATGAATGAACAAATTGTGATTTGTCAACAGCTCTCCCTATTATTCTGACATGACTGTTGTTATATTTAGTGATAACTACAGCATTTCTCTTAAGATAATTTTATCTAGTGCTCAGCCACAAACAGAAAACATGAAGGAAAAAAATGTGTAACCCACGTAGCTGCCATGGCATCTCTGTGCTAAACTGTGATCTTCACCGCCTGGAGAGTCCCTGAGACCTGGCTGTGCTCCAGGTCTAGATGATTAGAAACTGCAAAAAAGGAGGGGGTCATTATATCAACAGCAACAAAAACCACAGCTCAACCTGGCAGCAAGGGAACTTTTTGGTTTAAAAGGTTAACACAATCTTAAAAACATAGCTTCTACAGGGCATTATGTTAAGGATAAAAAAGCCTTCCACATTGCAACAGCTTTTCAGAAAACATCATTTTCTGGCAGAACATAATACAGTAACTCAAGTTCAAAATGACGACCCTGAGTCATCCCAACTCATGAGCAATCCATGAGCCCTGCCAGGCTGTATCCAGCCCACCCAGCTGGCAACACAGCCCAGCATCTACATTCAGAAGACAAAAGTGCAGTGTTGCGTCCATGTTTGCTTGAATGGATATGCCCCAACATTAATTTTTTAATGGCTTTAAAGCAGTGCCAGTTTTCTCATTAATATTTGTATCTAGTCAATAAAATAGGAAATCTAAATTGTAAGAAAACATTCCCAAGACTCAAAGACATTTTCATTTTGAAGTACACACACACACACACACACACACACACACAAATTTTTTCCTGAATTGATTCTCATGCTAAACAGCTGCTTATAACTGACACATACTATACACTATAAGGCAGCAAGGTAGGAAGAACAAAAGGAATCAGAGTTCTAGACTTGGAAATACCTTAGAAACGGTTTAATCCAGTCCTCTTTTCAGGCCAAAGAAAACTGAGGCCTGGGGACATGCAACAAACTTACCCAGATTCACAAAGACCAATGCAAAA